TTGGTGGTTGGTGGCTCCTGGCCTTACTACTAGGAGCAAGGACGCTACTAGTGGCAAAGGGCATCGCCACTAGGAGCAAGGACGCTACTAGGGGCTCCTGGCCTCACTACTAGGAGCAAGGACGCTACTAGTGGCAAAGGGCATCGCTACTAGGAGCAAGGACGCTACTAGCCAAACACAAGAAGGGTTAAAAGCCTAATGACACAACACATGCTTCAAATAGCCCTATGCTAACATGACCCTCTCCAAAAAATCTCGCAGTACAGTTCACTCCAGCGTATCCTCCATTTATGAAGGGTTTGGTTGTTGCATTGATCCAGTTGATCCAAAGAACAATTCAGAACAAATTGTGTGACACCTGATATCCCCCTGGCTCCCAAACTTGTTCACTTGCCTTTTGGCTGAGGCGCGAGGTGATTGACCAAGGATCTTCGCCCTGACCAGGTCAGAACGCTCCCAAGCTCCGACACTAACTGGCAATCGTGGTATTGGTTAAGAGGTCTTATGCAAACAGCAAGAAGAGTCTAACGGTCCAAACACAGAAACACAAGAAAGAAAAAACTGGAGAAGAGAAGCAAAGTTTCAAAGGAAACAAATATGAACACATAATACAACAAGCGCTGCCTGTACTAGCACGCTAGCCGCTAGCCCAAACAATCAGGCTCGTTTGGACAAGACCTCTGAACCCCTTCAGCAAAAGAAATCTCATCAAAGCCATCACCGTGGTCTGTTCTTTTAGACCTTTACAGTAACTTTAGACCTTTTTTTCGTTTGTAGCCTTTTTGTTCTCTGTTGACCTTTAGTCCATTCTATAGCTCGTTGCAAATCCATCGTGCGGAACCACCCCGGTCCTTTCCAGTGACCCTCACCAAACGTGGACACTTCTGCTGCTCCGCGGCCGCCAGCAACTGCGCAATGGCCTCGCAGTTCACCTCGGCCATGGCGACATTTGGGGCAGCTGAGCCCCTGAGAATGTTTTTTCAATTTCAATCGATCAGATGACGCTACCAACAAATGAAGTCCGCCAGCCACGCTACTAGTAACAAGTGCCACGCTACTAGTAACAAGCGCCTTACTAGTAGTAACAAGAAGCTATTGGAAACAAGTGCCCAACTAGTAACAAACGAAGTCCGCTTCTTTTGACGCTCAAAGTCGAGCGTTCGACCGCCCACGCCTGCCGTCCATGGTTGGAGTCTTCACGTTCCTGGGCACTCGGCGAAGACTCGCTCGCTCGGCTGTGACCGGGACTCACTGACCGAGCGGGTCGCGGGTCTTGTCCCACTTGCAAATGTCCAGAGTGGTGGATTTCCCGGATGGGCTAGGTGTTGATGAACACCTTCATACCCCCTCAACTACACGCAGTTCTCCGGAACACCAAACCTGAAGATCGACAAAAGAGCGGCACGCAGTTGTCCAAAAGAACCCGAAAGAGGCGGATAGTGCATCGCTACTAGTAACAAGTGCCTTACTAGTAGTAACAAGAAGCTACTAGAAACAAGTGCATCGCTGCTAGTAACAAGTGCCTAACTAGTAGTAACAAGAAGCTACTAGAAACAAGTGCATCGCTG